GACAGAGACGGAGCGAGGCAACCTTTCTTCGAAATCGTTGAGCAGAAAGCAGAGCAGCGGCGTGTCCGTGTCACGGGCAAGGTAGCGTGGCCAGAAATGGATAGCGAGGGAAACGTTCACAAAGGTCGCAGCGTCGCAGCCACGACACTAATAATATAGCACATTGTTATTCGCAAAGCAAGGCAGGCACAGCCTCCAGGCTCCAGCAGCCAGGCTCCAGCGAGCCGTCTCTCTCGCACCTGCCCGAGACGCCCCACGAGTGCGAGAGAGACGGAGGGGCCAGGCCCCGAGGCGGCGGCACAAAGGGATACACGCCGCGATTAATTCACAGAGAATACCGTGCCGCGTAAATGGCCAATGAATGCACACTTAGGCTGTGCGCACGGCGCGGGGGGCGCAGGGCGTCCCTAAGCCCCGGCCAGTCGGCCACCTTGCGATAATAAATTATTTCCCCAGAATGCAAAGCCCCCCGCCGTCTTCCAACTTTTCCGCTTAAAAAATGGAGGGCCGCAACTTGGGCCCGTGGCTGGCCGACTAGCCCCGTTCCGTGTTCCAGAATCTCGGACCCGAATCCCCGCGAACGCCAACCCGCTGCCCCCGATTTGGAGCACTCGTTGTGGCGACCCACCGGGACAAGGCAATCGCAGCCCGGCGTCGCGATGCAACACTGCGAAAACACCAGCCCAGTACTTTTTGAGCAGGGCACAAACTAGCCGGTGCCGACCAAGACAGTACCATTCGGTCAAAAATAACAAAAACTAAAAGGAAGTTTCAGTCGTTTTGACAAGACTCTGTTTTTACAGTGTGAGGATGATCTCGACAATAACCCGTTCGGGACCTGTGTGTGCCCAGGTAAGTGGGCGCGCCTGTGTGTTTGAGTGTGTGAGTGTGAGTGTGTGTGTGCACGTGTGAGTTTGCATACACGGCGACACGCGCCGCCTCGGGGCGCGGCGTGCCGGATCAACGCCAAGGACCCGATACAAGGCACTGGGGGCGGCGGGGGCCCGGGCGGGGAGACAACGGATCGGCAGCAGCGAGGGACGAGGGACACCACTGCCCGGGGCTAAATACGTGACTTCATCGGGGGAAGGGCCAGGATGGGCTGGGCCGGGCTAGGGCTCTCTCCGAACCTCTCCACCGCAATACACTCGCACGTCCGGGTCGGGCGCACGCCTGCACGCACGCCACACGGGCCTAACCCACGTGAGGGACTGCCAAACAACACACATACACACACACAGACACACACTCAGCACATGCGCAAACCAAGCCGAACAAGGAGGGCAAGAAACAAAAGGAATACCCACACTGCAAGAATGACAATGTCCGACGGGGGGTAAAAGAATCGCCGCCGAGCGCCTGCCATGGCGAGGGTAGGCCAGCCCGCCCGGCAGCCGTGGCCAGCGGGTTGCCTACCCTGGACTCGGCGGGCGCTCCCCGCGCCCGGACCTGGCTGCAGGTACACTGCGCAGCGCGTCAAGCCCGGGAATTCGACGATGGATCCCCTCTCCCCTCTCTGTCCCAAACACAGTGTATGACGTATAATCTCCCTCCCCCTTTCTCTTTCTCTCTCTCTCTCTCTCTCTCTCTCTCTCTCTCTCTTCTCTCTCTCTCTCTCTCGTACACACTCCGTCGCCGGGCCGGAGTAAACTTCTCTCTTAGAGGCGCTCCCATTCTGCGCGACTACAACACGCCATAAACCAGAAACAAAAACATATGGGTCGAGTTTATGTTTATACTACAGCGCCGTCCATGCATGAAGAAGACACACACACACACACACACAGTGACACAAAGCGGCGATGAGAGCCTCGAGCGGCGCCACACAAAAACAAAAGGGCGAAACCTGTAGTGAGTTTGCTGGCAGAGTTTACTGCAAAGCAGCGTCAGGACCGGCGTGGCGGGGCGTCGCGTGGCGGGGCGTGGCGGGGCGGGTTTCGGCCCGGTGCCGCGCTCTGCTTTGTTCTTGCCTTAATTAAGAGTCGATAGCGAGAGGTGCTGGCAAGCCTCCGACATCCTGCCGCCCCGCCACCCCACCCCTCCCTAGGGTCCCTCTGTCGTTTCCGTCGCCGCGTCGCCGTGGTCCTTGTTGTTGTTGCTTTGGTGGAACCTCGCTACAGGCGATTGTCAGTCCCGCTGGAGGTGCACGCAGCCACTGTTGTTGTTGTTGTTGCTGCTGCTGTTTCGGTTGTAGTTGCCGTCGCAAGGTCGTGGCGCAAGGAAGTGGGAAGTTTAAATGCGATTCGTCGCGATTTCGACCCCTCCGCCAAACATGATGCCAAAGATGCCGGCAGTGCCGTGGGCGTGTTTGGCGCGAAACCCTTCCCACAGTGTGGTGGCGGGGCGGCACGCCGCGCGGCACGCACCGCGCACCTCGCAGAGCCACGCAGAGCCGCCGCCCCGGCCGTCGGAGGAATCGAACCGCTACTAATTCGGTTCGCGGGGGAGAGGAGGGACTCCCGCCAGAATGTGCACATCTCCAAGTTTGAGGCGGCGGGGTGGGGTGGGCTCCGAGGGCGGAGTTACGGCGGGGGAAGGGTTTTGGGTTTCGCGGGTTTGAGGTTCAGGACGAGGAGGAAATAGTTCCGAGCAAAGCAGCAAAGGGAGAGGGAGGGGGAGGTGGGTACGGATCGAGCGATTACACCGTAAGCCTGGCGGGGCGTGTGATGTACTGCTCATTAAGAGGCGGCGCCGCGGGGGAAGGAGGGGGGGGGGTTTCTCACACGGCGGCACACAAAAGGAAAACCCCGCAATGCAAATCACTTTTGCCCGTATGACGTCATTCCGTCACTCCGAGCGAAGCGGCGGAACACCAGTCCGGGCGAAAAAGGCTCTCGACAAAAGGCGACTTGCAGCAGCCGAAACAAAGGAAGCAGAAATGAAAGAGGGGGAGGCAAATCTACCGACCCGCCGCGGCGCCGCGGCACGCCGATCAGGTCACGTTTGGCGCGCACAGCAGCCAGCCAGGCCAGCGAAACGGCCCAACATTCCCGTGCCAGCGAGTCGAGGCAACAGCGCCAATAAGGGCGCCATTTCGGATCGGATCGTCACGGCACGGTTCGTCACGGGGGACCTCGTCGGGGTTCGTCACGGAGAATCTCGTCGGGGTTCGTCAAGGAGAATTTCGAGCATCATCGCCAAGGTTCGTCACAGCATGGACAAAGCGCGCTTCGTCACGCGACGGCTCGTCACGGCATAAGCTTGTTACGGGGGCTGTTCGTCACGGTACGGCCCGTCACGGCACGGCGCGTGATCAGCAGAACCCGTTTCCCTGACGACGGCGAGGCAATTTCCGCTGCCGGCCGCGCTGCAGGTGGCGGACTGGCCGTCGGGCTGGCCGAGGCTGGCCGTCGAGACGGCCTCCACGACAAGGCGCTGGACAGGGCGAGGCGCCAGTGCACCAGCGGGCAGCCAGCGGACCGGAAAGGCCAAGTCGGAAGGTCCAGCGGACCGGAAATGAAACTGCGCAATGCCGAGCACGCAGTGCACTGCGATGCGCCGACGTCCTTCGGGCTAGTTTGCATCAAGAGTCCGGGCGGCCAGAGAAAGACGCGGCACGTGACTTACACCGAGGGTGGCTTTCTGGAGGTGGCCATGAAGGTGGTGTTGGAGGTGGTCGTGGTGGAGGTGGTCTCGGTGGCGCCCCGCGTCTTGCCCCCGACAGGCCTGTCCCTTCCCTCACCTGGCCCTCGCAGGGCCCCTCATGTCCTGCTCCGAGTGAGTCGTCCAGACAGCGTGACGGAGAGTGGCAGCGCCCTCTCGGCCCCACCAGGGCCCCACCAGCCCCACCAGGGCCCCACCAGGGGCGGAGCAATTAGTGAATCGTCAGCCGGCGACCCGCAAAAGCCACACAGGCACAGGTAGCCGCCGCACTGCCACATGTGTGTTTGTCGTCCTCGTCGCTCTGATTCGCCCCAGGCTGCCCCGGTGGGCCGCGTCCCAACTGTGCGGCTTCGCTGCCGCCTCTCTCTCTCTCTGTCGTACCACGACGCTCCCCGTCAGTGGGACAGAGACGGGGCGACACCGTTCAGCCCACAGGCACAGCCAGGCAGTGAAGCGCTCCGGCTTACCGCACGTGTTGTCGCGACTGGCGTTCCAATCTTACTCACATTAGGGGCACTCTCACACATAACATCACACACACACACACACACACACACACCACACACACACAAGACAACGTATTCTCTCTCCCCCCCACACACACACACACACTGACGGGAAACGAAATCAAGCAGGACCAGCGGGTCCCTGCAACTTGTGTATATTCATGAAGTCATATTCATGACCTTATCCACCTCCGCTTCTCTCTCGCTCCTCTTTTTTTGGCGGCAAAATGGACGCGAATGCAGCAGAAAAAAAACGAGGCACGGTTGAATATGCACGATCCATATTCTAAATCACCGCTACCTAGAAGTGCCGTGGCATTCGGCTTGGTCTCCGCCCTACTCGTCAGATAGGTTGGAAAGAATAATCAAGACGAAGTCCTCGATGGCATGAGTACCCAACTCGTTGCGAATCAAGAGCGCATACAACTGACGAGTTCAGTCAAACCGATGAGGTGCACATTGGAAAAACAACAAACAAAACAAACCGACCAATCAATCCAAATGGAGGTGCACCACCGAATCCTCACTCACCTCAGGTCGGCGCTGCTCGGCGTGGCCCGCGACGGGGAGGACGGGGCTTGGATGTCTTCCAGCGGTCGTCTCACAAGTTAGTGTTCCCCAAGGTAAAGGACCTCGAAAAAAAAAAAGAAACCTCCAAGAAAAACAGCACCTCCCTTTCCCATCGAAAAAAGAGAGACGCAACTGGCTTCTCTGCTGATATTCATCGCGCTGACGTGGCTCGCAGCCGCCCGGGTTAAAAGTCGCGTGAATTTATTGTGGCGTGTCAAACGATAAGGAGGCCGACACTTCCAACGCGAAAAAAAATTTTCGGATTCGAAATTTACTCGACTTTCATTAACGGTTCCCATAATATTTGTTTTGAGAGGATACATTCTGAGCAGCCCGCTCTTGGTTCCGACCGCCAGGAGCCTCTGCACAGGATCGAAGGCCATTGCCGTGGGTTGGTAGGGGAAGCCATGTCGAAATGTCTGCAACACAAGGAAAACAGCACAAATCAGTCCAGTCCGAAAGTCATTAAACAACATCAAACCACCATTGGCAGTGTTCGCTATGGTAAAACTATGGAATTCTCCGAAGATCGGGAGCCATATTTTTCCCCAACGAGTTCTCCAAGGTTTTTACAACAGTGTCATAACTTGAAAGGGACGGCAGAAGGAATTGGAACTGACTGAAAGGCGGCGATGGGAAAAAAAAGGCATTCGGAGGATTAGGGAAATCCGTGACGCTACGACCCCAACTTTTAATTGGGAGGCCCAGCTTGGGCCGAACCGGCTATGGACGGCGAGCCACAATCTGCTTCGAGACAACGAGGTAACGAAGTTAGTTAGGACGGAGCGCGCCAAAGTGTATTGTGGCCTCTGTGAACCATCAACCGTGCATATCTGAAATTCGCGACGACAGGAAATAATTCCATCGTCTCGTTGGAAATTATAACCCCCGACCCCGACGGGACAAATTATTTTCTCGGCTTTCACCCGAAAACTCGCGAACAGCTCACGGTCAAACCTGAGTCGTGGTCGACATGGACCAGGCGCGACGAACCTCCTTTTTTTTCTCCTGAGAGCTTGTGTGCAACAAGGCTAGTTTGTCGTTACACCAATCCAGCAGAAACGTCCATCCAGCGTCTGACGAGGCTTTCTTCGGCAGAGCAAGCCGCAGTGGAGTGGTGAGAGGGATAGCAGAACAGGCCCGAAGGGGAGAGCTGACTCACCACACATCGTGCAGTGGCGGTGCAGAGAGGCCCCCAAACGAGGGAAGGATGTGACCTCAAACCCGCGGCCGCGGCTCAGCCTCCCTATTCTGTTTGAGTTCCGATTGCAATCACGTTTCACAAAACGACACAGACCGAACGATAAATTCTATCCGAGCCCCGCAACAAGGCAGGCGCACACTCACACACACACACACAAAGGGAGCGAACAATAAAAACTGGCGCCAATTATTTGGAGGCAGAGGGGAGGGAAATAATGAGAAAGGCGCGGGGCAAATGGCTTGACCTGTCCATCAAGGGCCCCTTCCAGGACGTCCAAGGCGCCAGCCTCGTCGCTCTGTCTCTCTCGCACGCGTGCGGCGAGCCCCGTGGCCACCCGTGGGTGCGAGAGAGACAGAGCGACCGAACGACCCAGCGAAATCGCTCGGTAGACTATAACTCTGCGCGTCATTCGGCGTGCCTCGGGCTGCTTCGGGCTTCAAGGCCGCTCGTCACCTGTCGCCACCTTCCTGGGCTCAACGCACCACTATTTCTGCTATTTTCGAAATCATTTCACTTTTTTTCAAGTTTCAACTTGGTTTACGCGACACTGCTAAACTAAGGCTCCACATTGGCTCTTACAGTATTACAAGCGCCTGCCACGCGTCACGAGTTCGAACGCCAACGTCCTTCAGATTTCCGGCTATAAATCTACGCTGAAGACGTTTCGGTGCCAGTCCAGTGGGACAATCGAGTTGAACGACGCAGATGCATCTCTCTCTCTCTCTCTCTCTCTCTCTCTCTCTCTCTCTCTCTCTCTCTCTCTCTCTCTCTCTCTCTCTCTCTCTCTCTCTCTCTCTCTCTCTCTCTCTCGCGGCCGTGGCCCACTGCGGCTGCTAGAGACGAAGAGCGATTGAAGCTCGGCGGGCCGATATTTCTCGCAGCCCGCAGGCTGGCGCGCGCTGCGGCAGCCTGGAGCAGCCTGGAGCAGCCTGGAGCGGCCTGGAGCGCCTGGAGCTCTGGAGCAGCGAGATCATCACGGCTGATAACGGAAGGGGGGACGCCCGGAAGCGCAGAGATTTCCAAGGCAGCCCCTGTTCGCTCGCCATGAAGGGCCAGCCCTCGGGGCAGCCCTCGGCCTCAGGATTGAGACAGTCATGAGACTCGCTCGGCCGGCCCTTTCGAAGGCCCTTTCCACGGCCCTTTGCTCAACGAACCGAGCCCCGACTTTCCTCGGCCGATTAGCATGTCAGGCCCTCGGCCCCTGCAAAGTCATCGCCACCACACTGGATACAGTGGATACACTGCTATTCCCTCCCGCCCACCAGCCCTTTGCACAAAGCAATCGCTGTGGTTCGCCAGGCATTTGTCAATGCCGACCCTCGCTGGCCGGACCCTTCCCCACCCCTCATATTTCTTCTCGGTCTAATGAGGGCGCCACCACCAAGATCCCCACAGTCGCCCCCCCTCGGCTATGAAAATTCAGAGTCCGTTCCTAAAAAGAAATAACGACAAAAAAAGAAGAAAGAGGAAGAAAGAACAGCCTTGGTCTAATTATCCTGCGAATTACGGTATATTTAAAAAAACGGCAACTTGAAATTTGTGAGGGACAGGGTAGGGCTGATCGCCCCGAGCCCTTCCGGCCCTACGGGATTCGTGAAGGGTGGCTGGTCCGGGATCACGGCGGCGCCGCGGCCGGGATAACACCTCGGGGCGGCGGCGCACCCGACTTGATCAATTTCGGGGATGCCAAAGTCTTCGGCAGAACAGGAAATTACATGCGTACGCCCTTCCCCGGCACCCTGGCAGCAACGGTCGGAGTTATTTTGAACTGGAGAAGCAATGTGGGGAATCAGAGATTCTGGAAGTCACGAAATACTCCACATTAACGTGGCGGCCCTCCCCTGGAGCTGCCTGAAGCTGCCCGGAGCGCTCGGCCGGCGAGGTCCTCGCCTGTGATCCGATTTGCCTGACTTGCAGGGCATGCGTTGTACCGCCTTGCAGAGACAACCAGCGGGAGAGCCGGCCCCGGACTCGATGCCAACATTTCCTCATGATATTCAATGGAGCGCACGTCGCGTCCAATGGCTTGCTTAGTCGCCGGAACAATTCCCAGTACCAGGTTCCGCTTTCCTTCTTCCATTCGGGGTTTCTCGGGGAGAACCCGCCGACTAGATTTTCGAGCTTGGCCGAGCGCGCACACTGCAGCCACTACACCCAAAAACTTGGGTGAAATCAAAAACCATAACACATTCAAAATAAGCTTATTCAAACTATTTTATATCTAGTACAAAGAAAAATTCTCTTGGATCAATATATTTAATTTTTCTTGATAAAACCAAGAAATTTTTTTTTTTGGGGTGCACCTAGCGCTAGCCCCGCAACAGTGGTCAAAGTCAAGACCGGAAGAAAGGAGGGAAGGAAAAAACACCAAACACAATATGACGGACACAAAGCTCTTTGTGCCTTATCTCTCTGCCAGTGTACCGGCCTCACCAGTGCCCCTCCCCCTCCCCACATTCAGTATTTGATGTTCCCCCTCCACCGTCTTCTTTACCTATGTGGTCCCACGGCCCCCCGGCCTCAACATACAGTGTGTGGACTGTGTGTGTACTATCAGTTGCAAAAGAACTGCAAACCCGCCGCCTCCGCCCCCGACTTGGGCTTGCCTTCGGCCCCGCTGGAGCGCGCTGGGGCGCCGCGCCGAGGTCCGGGCCTCCAACGGTGCGTGTAGAGCCGAGCCTGGCCCGGGAATTCTCTGCGCCTCTGACCTCGAACTTCGCAAGCCCGAGGAAACGCGACCGAGAAATCGGAAAGATATATTTACCCTTTGCTTTATCTTTTTTAGCAGATGGTACCTTTTCTTTAAAACACTATTTAGATAGAAACCCCCATGACTCTGAGAATGTTAAAGCGGAAGAGAGGGGTGATTTAAAATAAAAGCGGCTCAAAAGCTATCATAAAAAATTTAAAATCATCGTAGAAAAACAAAAAACTTTGAAAAAATACATGTTTTTGGGGATGCCCCCCCCCTCCATAAAAAAGGGGGATGCGGGCGATATATTACTTTCTGCCTCGAAGGCAGCGAAAATGCAGCACAATACGCGAAGGGCGGCGGGCCATTCATCTCGCCCTGCAAAGGGAAAGTGCACCGCGGCCTGCGTCACACTCACAATGGGCCAAACATTTGTTCCGAGCCTCTCCGATCGGAACCGCGCCGCGTGGGGCAGGCCGCCGGGCAGGCTCACTGGGCAGCGCCACGCACCGAGTCCATTTGACAGTGCCCTCGCCTCGCCGCTGGCGTGGAGCGTCGTACGACTATGGTGTTTAAAATTGCGCAACATGAAGGCAAGCACGCCAAACCAATGTAAAAAGCAAAGCGATTCCGAAAAAAAAAAACACTGGGCGTTTTGAAATGAAAGGCGATAAAGACCCGGCTGGTGCAACTGTTTAAAAATCAGAGCAAAGACGCGAGCAATAAAAGATAGGAACAACGCGCAGCCAATGTGTTATTAACGCGGGACCGTCGATGTCTTTATCTTTTTCCGAGGCCCAATCTATCCCCACTGGAGCCGGCAGGAGGGAGCGCGCTTCGGCGGAAGTTGGGCAATCAGCTGTCGGAGCCGAGGCGAGGAGAGGCGGGGGCGGGGCGCGTCCTGAGGAGCCGGGCCACAAGAGCGACAACTACGGCTGTTGAAGTGGAGGACGTTGATCACCGCGCCGCGCCACGCCGCGCTCTGGCTGGATGAGTGGCGCCCCTTCCCCCTGCGGGGCCCTGCCGTGCCCTCCTTGATGGATGGGGGCGCGCCGTGCTGTGCCCCTTGCACCGTCGTCCATAAACCACGTAACAGCCCTCGGCAGCCACCTCAACCTTGCCAAGGTTTTCCGCTAGCTGTTTGCAAAGGAATCCCCCTGTCGCGCGCGTCAATTTCAAATCTCTTCCGCAGGCTCAATCTTTGGCCGGGTTTCCGCAGTGTAGGCTGCGTCTTCATATCCCTCTGCAGGCCTTTAATGATCCTCGCAATGCCCGAAATGCGGGCGGGCCGGGTCCACTGCGATGTCGCGAGTGTCGGGGGGCTCGGGGGGCCCCGCAGTGGAGTGCGCACGCTTGTATCCGCGGTGGAACACAATCCTCACTGGATTGCCATGCCTCTCACGCCGCATCCAGACACACCCACTCACACGGACGCACACACGCACACAGACAAACCCACACAAAGGCGGCGGGACGCACGGACGCGCGCACACACACAGACGCACGGACGCACACACGCTCGG